TAAAATTTAAATAAGGAATCATTAGATTAAAGGATATGTGGTACTTCAAAAGATAATAACACTCACCAGCCATTTCAACTATATTTATATATAGTATATTCAAATATTTTAATCAATGGAGTTGTATTTTTATAGCAGCAGTTCACAGAAACACTTGTTTTAAGGTGCTTCATATTGCAAGGTAAAACTCTATAACCCCAACAATCGCACCTTTGACCACGTGCTTGGTGACCCTCTGGACAGGAAAATACCCATTTAAGAGGAAGAGACCTCCATCAGAACCAGGATCAAACCGGTTCTGGGCTGAAGTAAAAGAAAAGCGTTAAAAGGTTATAAGTAACAAATGGGGCAAAACACAAACTATTGGAAATGAAACTTTTCTTCTCCAGCTGGGCACTTCTACTACTCATGTTCCGATTACTGGACAACTCTCTCGATCTCCTGATCTATGGTTGCCTCCATCTATCCTACAGACATATTTAAGTGGCTTCTAAAATCGAAGCTTCACTTTCCTTGTTGCCACTTAGCTCTATTCAGCTCTAATTTGGCATTTTTCTTTCTTTCTGTGTCGTACCCACTACACAGGCAAACATCTACAGTCACACACACATTCAGATGTCTCATGCTCCTCTGCAGGATTTCAAGTGGTCTGGCCATTGTGTCCCCACCTGTAGAACATTGTCAAAGCACAAAGGAAGACCTCCTGTCAGCTTCTGTTTGATGTGATTTGATTTTGTATAGCCCTCTCAAACTGTACGTCCATGGGGCTTTGAAAGAAAGGCCAACAGCATGTGGAGTAATTTACATGTGTGTGTCAAGGAGGTATTGAGTTCCTCTCAATTTGTCACAAACCTCAAAAATCCTGCTTACTAACAAACATGCTTACTTTTGTATGGAAGTGCTTTTATTTGGACTTTTTTAAGGTTGTATAGTCAAAAGAACTTGTAGATGGTTTGTTGTGTTTCGTGGCCACAGGTAATACTTCACTCGCGTACAAAAAAAAAAAAAAAAGAGTTTCAAACTGAATATTGAGTATCACAAAAGGCTGGAATCTCTACCTGAGACTAGTTCAGCGCTCAGCTGCTCAAGCATTAAATAGACTGATGTTTGCCATAAAGTGGGGCCCCTTACTCGCCGCCCTGTGAGGTCACAGCACCTGTTCTTGGTAATTGCTAGCAGGTGATGTAAGGCCTCCGCTTGTTTTCCATGGTGTAAGGTGGAGGTCCCCCTGCTCCCTCCTACAAGGCGGCTGGAAACTCATGTTGCTTGTTTGGAGCAAATAATAGAGTCTGACTCGTTTGTTCTGCTTTCCCTGCGACCTGTGAGTGAAGTGACTCTTTACCCACCTAATTCTAGTTCCAGAAATATGCAGTGGCTTGTTTTTGATGGATGGACCATATTGATTTGATATAATTTTCAGTTCTAATTTTCCAGAAACTTATGTCAAAGACTATTTTCTCAAGAAGTTATACTACAAAAAAATAAACTTTTACAGAAAGAGAAATACTAAGTAAACAAAACATTTTAAATACTGTTGCATTTGTTGGTAATTCTAAAATTTTAGTCACATTTTAGTGTAACTACTACAGTCTTGAAATGCAGTTGGGGCGATCATGGCTCAAGAGTTGGGAGTTCGCCTTGTAATCGGAAGATTGCCGGTTCGAGCCCCGGCTTGGACAGTCTCGGTTGTTGTGTCCTTGGGCAAGATACTTCACCCGTTGCCTACTGGTGGTGGTCAGAGGGCCCGGTGGCGCCAGTGTCCGGCAGCCTCGCCTCTGTCAGTGCGCCCCAGGGTGGCTGTGGCTACAATGTAGCTTGCCATCACCAGTGTGTGAATGTGTGCGTGAATGGGTGGATGACTGGATATGTAAAGCGCTTTGGGGCCCTTAGGGACTAGTAAAGCGCTATATAAATACAGGCCATTTACCATTTACTCAACTCAAAATAAGGTAAACAGTACAGAAACTCAGGAGGTCTTAATATCAGACAAACTTTGAATAAAACACCAGAGCCTAAGAAATAAAAGGATTTGTCATGTCATCATTTTTCCATGAGAAACTTTGAGCAAGTACCTTCGCCGACCATTATTTTTTTGTACATTGTGGGATTTTTGATTTTACTTCCAAACACGATTATTTGCATAATCTGGTCTACTTGGTGAAAATCATAAGCAGAGCCAAAAACGGAGAAAATCTTTTAATATATTTTGTTTACAAGTCATACTAACAATACAAATGGAAAGTTGTCTTTGCAAAATCTGAATAAAAATACATTATTTTTGGCTAATGGGATTATATGATCATCTGAGCAGTCAGACCCTTAGGTTCTCCATCTCTTGTAGAAAAGTCTCATTGGCAGCCTCGTATCAAATTTGAAAACTTAGTGTTTGTTTTTCAAATAAAAGTTATGTTGATCTTGATCATTGATTACTGTATATAATCCTTTTCAGTCATACAGTCAGTACTTCTTATTATTACAACAGTATAATAGATTTTATATCTGTACCCCATATTGCATATGCACCTTGTAGGTTGAAAAGGAACAACACTCTATGTCCATTATGTGTTGTGGTATTGACAATTAGGCAGACTTTGACTAACTTCCTCATAGTGCTGCAGCTTCTCTAGATTAACACTAAAGTGGAACAGAACCTGATCAAATGAATTGTAAATTGGGGAACTTCCCCCACGTGTTACATTTACATTGTGTTACATTTACAATGTGTCCAATAAGTACCATGATTCTGTCCATGACCTGTCCATTCGCGTTGGCCTGAAAGTAAAATTCCAAGTGGATAAAGTATTACACAACCAAAGAATCCCCACAGTTTCCATGAAAAATAAATTACATGAAAATATCTTGTTAAGGAAAAAAACTTAACAAGAGTTACCTCTTGCATTTTGATCCAAGAGGTAACTTTTAAATTCACATGATGGTACACACAATGCGTATTGTTAATATCATGATATAACCTTGTTGCAGTTACGTCCACTCAGATTGACAAGACCTGAACACATCTAAGAGCTGAAGGCTGTATAAAAATGAGACGTTTTAAGTGTTACAGTGTGAAACTGAGGACACTGAAAATTGTGGACTATTTTTTTTTGTTTGCACCCCAAAGACAAGCTAAACTGTTATTGTTTTAATCAGAATTTCTGACCATCTTTGTCTTTGCTGGGTCCACCTGATGATGTCTTTTCAAGGCTGGCTGCAGGAGGACAGAAGCCAGTAGATAGGGTATATGGCTCAGTCCTCCAGCCAGCTGTGAACCTGATAGCATCTGTTTTAAACGTTTGAGAGGTGGAGAGAAAGCAGCCCTCTTTTCGTCTGAGCTCTGGAGTGCTAGTTATCTCATGCCTTTTTAGTAAAGGGATCCGCAGATGGCCCGTGTCCTGACAGCTATACAAATGTGATATCACTAGCTGAGGTATTCCACAAGGATCCTCTTACTGTGTTACTGTAGGCCGAGAAGTGGGACTCATTCATGCTCAGAGTAAACAAAACAAGTCGGCCACAAAAAGACTTCTCCTATCTCAAGACGAGGCAGAAAAGACAGAAAGAAAAGCTGCTTTCTTGTCTTTGTGACGGCAGACAAAACAACCTCTTCACACCTGAGTGTGTCTCCTGTTCAGTTCTTTCCACGCATTGTCATCCTGTGTTATCGAAACCATCGAATCGACATGAAAAGATCATTTCATGTTCGGCTGTCGCCTGAGGGGGTTTGGACAACTTGGCTTCCATTTGCTTTGTCTGATTCCAGTGACAGAACCATTCGTCATCATCTTTTTTCTCAGGTTGTGTCTAGTTTGAACTCATTTCAAAGACATGATGAGCAGTCATGAAGCTGTCCTTAGAAGTATGTGTTTTACTGGCAGTGAAGAATCTAAACCTGTTCATGGTGTTTTAATCAGATCGTGTTTGAGTTAAGGTGGCCCAAGTGTCGCCTGCACATCCTGTGTTATGGTGAATGGCCTGTATTTACTACTCCCTAAGGACCCCAAAGCGCTTTACACATCCAGTCATCCACCCATTCAGGCACACATTCACACACTGGTGATGGCAAGCTACATTGTAGCCACAGCCACCCTGGGGCGCACTGACAGAGGCGATATTTCATATTGTAAGCTAAACAGGCATTCAGCTTATATTTTGCTCCCAGTTTTGGTGGTCTCTGTCAAGGCCTGCACTGTTTTGTTACATAAATAAATGTAATGTACTGGCAACCCTGCTGTTAGAAGTCTACTGTAAAGGGTGATTGCCTGTGTGCCTGATAGGACCCCTCTTGAGTTGTTGATTTATGCCTGTCTGGTAGGTTTTCAGTTGTTTCAGACCAAGTCCAAAGACTTTAAACATCATGGCATGGGTCTGTCATTTTCATGTAATTTTACTAGACTGACTTGGTCTGAAATCACAACTTTGCTTCAAAGAGCTTACAATGTGCACAACACATGACACCCTGTGTCCTTAAACCCTGAAATCTGGATAAGGAAAAAAAAAACCGAAACCTCAAGTGGAACAATGAGAGAGGGTTCCCTCTACGGGATAGGTTTTTTCTGACTTGACTCTCCCTCCCTTTCCACCAAAGAGTCCTTATATGACACACAACATCAAGTTTTAACTAAGCACTTCATTTTTTATGTCATTTAAAAGTACATTCTTCCCCCAGCTGTAGGTGTTTTGGAACGGAACTCAGACTTTAGTTACTGTAAGTGGAAGGACTCAGACCGTGTCCCACGCTAGTATCTGAGCAGGATATTTTGTAGACATCCCACTTCTGCAAGCGAGGCCTATTGAAGTATAACATAAGTTGGACTCATTGCTGATTTGAACCCGATTCAAAGTAAAACACGACCCTTTATATTTCAAAGTGGGAGGATTTGTAACAGATCCCATCTATCTTTCCACAAGTGACTTTTTCCTCACTGGCTGTTACTCAGGAGAGGTTTGATGGTCATGATTATTTACACAGAGGGTTTCCTTCTTTTTCTCTCTTTTTGCAGTCGGTCATTTTCATAAGGGATCATAATACTCTTGGACAGGAAGTATCTGGCTATATAGACTACGCCCACAGACTCAAGACCCAAGATTTTGAACCATATTTCAGTGGAAAGAAGAGGCTCATGCCAGCACGCTCAGATTTATGGTAAGTCTCCTTCCATTGTAACATGTCCACATTGGTTTAAGAAGCCTTTACTCAGGTGGGATTTGACAAAATTTGAAGTGTAAGGAAATCATATTATCCAAGAATAAAAATTCACATTGTCGTGAAACACCAATATAGGTTTGGAAGGAGCTCTTTAAAAAGCACAGTATGGTTGATACATACAGAGCAAGCTGCTGTGAGCTGAAAATGTAGAATAAATAAATAATAATAAAGTAGAGCTGCCAAAGTGCAGAACTTCTCTGGCTGACGCAGACGCGACTGAAGTCTCGATTTAAACAGACTGAGATCATGAGATTATTTTTAATGTATAGCTGATGACTGTAAAACAAACTGAAGACAATCCAGTTTCTTCAGTGTAACAGCGTTTTAGATTGCTCTTTAGTTCGTGGGGGGGCCTGGACACAGTTCCTTTAAACAGGTTCCTTTTAGGTCTTCCTCTTTGTTTGTAATTCTGTTTTCCACTGTGCCAAATCTCCCGGAAGAATTTGTTGGAGAAGGCAAAGATAGCGTGACAAAAACAGAGGAATGGAGAAGCATCACATTAAAGTTAGGGTCCTTGAATTTAATTCAAAACCAGCTGTCAGTTCTGTGGCATCTCTGTAAGGTTCAAGTAAGGTTTCATTAAGGGTGAAGGGATGGGAACATTTCACTAACCCACAGTGACTTTCTGTGCTTTTATTTATCAGTCACCAAAGTTAGACTAACACATTTTCAGTCATACATGTGTACTGTACGTTTGACAATTCGAGGGTCAGCACCGGTCACACAATCCCAGAACAAGCCATCAATGAACTGCTGACCTTACAGGTGTAAGCTAAAATCTCCACTCTACTATTCAGCAAGGCAGGTGACATCTTTATAATTCCTGGTCTATCAGGATAGCTGTTTACACAGAGAGCTGTCAGCAGATTACCAGAGCCAAAACCATTCCCACATTCCACATATTCATGCAGACTAACACCTTACCAACATTTCAGATACGTGCGAGAAATCCCAAAAGGACAGACACAACCGGAGAAGGGTGAGAATGAGAGTGTAATACGTGGTTTTATTCAGAGTTCAGCCAAACGGCACACAGCCTGTTTGACCTCGGTGACAGAACAAGGTCTATAACATCCTAATGTAGATAGCTTTTCACGCTGAAATTCTGCTTTGTTTTTCATGCTGTGAACCTCAGTTTTCTACTTTCAACATTTTTATAAACAACTTTCCGTCTTGGATTGGGGCTGCAGCTGCAGTAATGCGGACGCTGCACCGGTCCGTCGTGGTGAAGAGGGAGCTGAGTGTAAAAGCGAAGCTCTCAATTTACCGGTCGATCTACGTCCCTACCCTCACCTATGGCCTCGGGCTGTGGGTAGTGACCGAAAGAACGAGATCGCGGATACAAGCGGCAGAAATGAGCTTCCTCCGAAGGGTGGCTGGCCTCTCCCTTAGAGATAGGGTGAGAAGTTCGGCCATCCGGGAGGGGCTCAGAGTAGAGCCGCTGCTGCTCCACATCGAAAGGAGCCAGCTGAGGTGGTTCGGGCATCTGACAAGGATGCCCCCTGGGCGCCTCCTGGGTGAGGTGTTCCAGACATGTCCCACCGGGAGGAGGCCCCGGGGCAGACCCAGGACACGCTGGAGAGATTATATCTCTCGGCTGGCCTGGGAACGCCTTGGTGTTCCCCCAGACAAGCTGGAGGAGGTGGCTGGGGAGAGGGAGGTCTGGGCCTCTTTGCTTAGGCTGCTGCCCCCGCGACCCGGCCCCGGACAAAGCGGATGAAGATGGATGGATGGATGGAACTTTCCGTCTTCATGTGTGAACCCCACCAACAAGGCTGCATCACTGAGGACAACATATTATAATCATGACGTTTTTGTCTTTTTAATGTGGTTACAAAGAAATACTGAGTATATTAATAAAAAGTTTGGAATTTGTAAACAGCATCTGTAGTTTGTTGGAACCAAAAACTGCTTCATAAGCACATTGTCCAACAACAAAATTCAAAATGCTAAATGGCAGTCTTAGAGAAAACTGCTATTGTTCCAGCAGTCAGAAGACAAGAATGACAGTTGGGGTTTTATTTTTGGAAGTGGTTTCCCCTTCCTTTTGAAACCAAAGTGTCAGACATGTGAAGCTTTGTTGTTTTATTTATCCATTTCTCACCACGTGTTCCGACACACAACCCCGCTTGTGGCCTTGAACTCGACCTCCTCTCTGGTGAGTAGAAGCCCTAACAAGCTCTAGGTGTGAGTCATTGGGTGAGCATGCCTGGAGGTAAAACCTACTCTCTAATGATGCTTTTAAGACACCCCTCACCACCCCGCCCCACCACCATCGACCCGCACCCCCATCTGACTTGCCGCTCCCTCTCTCCGACTCATTTTTCAGTCACTAAAACTTCATCAGATTTACACGTCTCCTTGTCTTTATTTAACTTCTCTAAACTTGCCTTCCATGCTTCGCTACCGCTCCCCTTTTCTCCCCTCATATGTCATCTTCCACCCCCCCCCCCTTTTTTTTTTTCATCTCTGTCGGGAACAATAACACCCAGTGTGGTTGCCGCTAAGAGGGAGCAGATGCTGGAGCTGCTGCCCACTCAGTGCACTAAACCTCCCACCGCAGGACTCTGAATCCTGTCCCTCCTCCTCCTCCATAGCCACAAAGAACACAGGGCAGCGACACCAGCGCCAGCTCTGGCCTCCACCTCCCATCTCCAGCAAGGAAGGGTGGATAGGTTCACGTACGCAGCCTTATGGGGGTGTAGCAGTAGCAGTACTGTCCTCTTGGACTAAAGTATGAGGATTTAAAGATGTAAAATACTAGAGAAAAAACATTATCGTTGAAAACCAAATATGTTAAATGTACAGTTTATCTGTTCCACAAGTTTGATGTGGAAAATATTTCTAACTTTCCAACTTTGTGTAACAGGTGCCTGTGCTGTTTGGAAAAAAAGAAAGAAAAGGATATTCATGACTAAATACATACGACTTCCCCTCTGAGTAATAATAATAAAGGAGAAGAGTTGTCTTCTCTTATATCTTACTACAACCTTTAGTTCCTATTTAAAATCACATCTGGTTACACAGGCACAATCATTTCACAGTTTAATTTCTTACATGTGAGTTGCAAAAATGGGAAGTGCTCAGTCATGTGACCGATAGAGTTGTGAATGTATTTGTACATAAACAACAAGCCATCCTTCTGAATATTTCCATGGATTCTATAAGAGCAGCAACAATATTCAGCTAAATGCTGGATGTGATTTATTTTAGCACGCACACTCGGCAGGTGGGTCAAATAAATATAATTTGTAAGGACACACGTTCTGAGCCTCTGACCTCCAGAGGAAACCTGGTTAAAGTATGTCAAGGACGGGATTCTCCCAATTGCTTCAGAAGAAATTTAACATCTAGAAACTAGTAAACAAGACACAATCTCATAACCAGAAACACAATATTTGCTCTTCTGCTCTACTTACTGTCACCTCAGGGGAAACTGTGGAGTAAGCCTTTAAGTAAATAAAACCAAAACCTGACACTAATACTGCAAATGGAGGGTGACAAAAGTGTGTTTTTAGGTTAAATTTGTGAGCTTCCAACATAGACACGCACTGAAGTTCTGACCCTGGTCTAATTAACCCACAGATCTGCAGCTCTGTGCACCCACCTTCCTGCCACTCCAGATGTGCCTACAGCATCTCTGATGTCTATTTAATGTTCACCAGCTAAGTGACCATCTGTTTATGCACTCTAGCTGTTCCCTTCCTCCCTCTCTTTATCTCTCCCTCTCTTCAGGCCCTGTGTTTAGCCAAGAGTTTTAAGAGGCTGAGCAGCTCATTGTATGGGAATCCTAATTGATTTACTGGTTTTTCTGCTTTACATTGTTTATGTTTTGTTCTACTTGAAATCATGCCTCTTCCTGAAAACTAAACTTCTTTCATCTGAAGTATAAAACATCTTTACTCTTCAACAAGTCGCTCAAACGCAAACATTTTAAATTGCTGAATAATATAAATATCTCCTGCCTGCACTGCACGCCTTTGCCAACAGACTGAAACAATGAATCTAAAGGATCAGCTCGACTGAAACATATAGCGCATGCCTCTTCTGGAGCCAAAACCATGTTGCCGCCACGCTCGGCCTCTGCAGTGCACCTGTGTGTCTGGCTTCATTTTCTGCTGTGAAAATATTTGCACTGCTGTCCCATTTTATTAAGTTTTAATACAAAAGAGAAACTGTTCCAGCTCTGAAGGTGATTTAGCGGCTCCGTCTCAAGCGTTGTGCCTGGGCTTTGTGGGGGTCGGTGGGACGTTTTATCAAAGCCAGCATGGTAAATATTTGCGGGAAGATTTCATGTCATCTTTGCTGATCTTCACATATGGCACACACATACCCTATTGGCAGGGTTAAATCCAATCAGATTCTTCCCAGTGCTTATGGGTATAGATTGTTTTTGAGGGTTCCAATGTCAGTACCATCGTCAGTCTCTTACCATCTTTCTATCTCATGTGCGTGTAAAATGACAGCGGCGACTCTTTAAATACCATAAGAACAAAGGCATTGTGTGTTTCACCCCCTACCGCTGCCCATCAGTATGCTCTTACTCAATGGCTACATTCAAATGGAACATAGCATAGCACCCAGTTCTGTCAGTTGACATGTAATGCATGTAATACACACAAACAGTTTCACCTTTTCTAAGTTACAAAAATCCTTGCAGTTCAATAATTGGAATAACAGAAGTAAAATACATTTATCAGCTCTACAGTGGCTTGCAAAAGTATTCGGCCCCCTTGAACTTTCCCACATTTTGTCACATTACAGCCACAAACATGAATCAATTTTATTGGAATTCCACGTGAAAGACCAACACAAAGTGGTGTACACGTGAGAAGTGGAACGAAAATCATACATGATTCCAAACATTTTTTACAAATAAATAACTGCAAAGTGGGGTGTGCGTAATTATTCAGCCCCCTGAGTCAATACTTTGTAGA